GTGTGTGTGTGTGTGTGTGTGTGTGTGTGTGTGTGTGTGTGTGTGTGAGGCAATTGGGGTTTAGTGGCTTGCCCAGGGTCGCACAGTTAAGTATCAAGCGTCTGAGGCCAGATTTGAACTCAGGTCCTCCTGATTCCAGGGCTGGTGTTCTATCCACTGCGCCACCTCACTGCCCCTTAACAAGCACTCATTAATCGCCTACTATGTGCCAGCAGTTGTGTTAAGTGCTGGGGATATAAAGATAAAAGCAAAATAATGTCTACCGCAAGGAGCTTACATTTTAACAGGGGAAACAACATACACAAATACATATATATAACCATGTATGCATGTATGTATGTATATGAAAGACATATACAAAACAGACACGAAGTAACTTTGGATGGGAAGGCACTAGCAGCTGGACGGATGTGAAAAGACCTTGTGGAAGGTAGTACTTGAGTTGGGTCTTAAAGGACCTCCAAAAATCATTTCAGATCAAGTCAAAACATCTTGAGTTCAATACGGATGGTATGAATATGGATTTAAAGTCAGGAAGACCTGGGTTCAGATCCCACTTTACTAGAATCTATGAGTGTATGTTTTGCATATATATATATATATATATATATATATATATACACACACACACACTGTTTTCCTTGATAAAATGTAAGCTTCTTGAGGGCAGAAACTTTTTATTTTTTGTCTCTTTGTAACCCCAGCATGTAGCATGATACCTGGCATATAGTAGGTGTTTAATAAATGCTCATGCATCAATTGAGTGATTCACTCATCAATCAGGAGATGAGGTCTTAGGGCAGGGCTTGAAGGAGGGAGACCTTTGAGCTGAGCCTTAAAGAGAGCTAAGGGTCACTCCCCTAAATCGCCGGCCACCTCACGGCTATGTGGTATAGTGGAAAGAGCATGGAATTTGGGCATTGCAAGGCTGTGCAGGGAGCTCAGACTCTGCCACCTGAGTGAACTCTGGGAAAGTAATTTCTCCTCTGTGGGCCTCAGTTTTCTCATCTCTAAAATGAGAGGATTGGACTAGCTGGTTCCGAGGGTCTTGTCTAATCAATCCACAAACACTAGGTGCTATGTGCCAGACACTGGCTGTGCAGATAGAAACTATTTCCTGCCCTCAAGGAGTTTATATTCTACAGAGAATATAAGGGGCTTTCATCTTATGAAGGAGATAAGGTATAAATACATATCAAGGGGAATTTTGGTTCAGCCTTGCCCTGGTCAATAAGGCAAACGATGCTGATCACAAACTTGCACAGCTTTGATAGCTAAGAGTGAATGACTTCCACATAAGGGCAAAACAATGCTGATTAGTACCCGTGTTATGAGGAAATGGGTTTTATGCCACCTCAGTTCTTCCCCCCATCTAAGTATTCACGTGCAGGCGTATTTCCGACCACCATTTTCTGAAGACTCATCGTACTCGTACCCAAAGGTCAAGCAAGATTTAAACATGAAGTCATTAGGCTAACTTTGGGCATGCATGCACACTCGTGTGCGACACACACAGAGGTTGTTGTAATTGTTGTTGAGTCATTTGGTTGTCTGACTCGTCGTCACCCCTCAGATCATAGCGTGACAATACTGTCCGTAGGATTTTCTTGGCAAAGAGCGGTTTGCCATTTCTTTCTCCAATGGATTCAGGTAAACAGAGATTAAAGGACTTGCCCAGGGTCACACAGCTAGTAAGTGTCTGAGGATGGATTTCAATTCGATTCTTTCTGACTCCAGGCTCAGCACTCTATCCACTAAACCATATAGCTGCTACACACACACACACACACACACACACACACACACACACACACCCCTTATCTCTGTATTTTTGTGTATGAGTATGTATATGTGTATATACATACATACATACATACATACATATGTACATATATATTTTAAATCCTATGAGTGCGACAACTCATAGCTATTTATCAGGCCACTTCTGGCTAGAGGGGGATGGGGCTCCTTTGCTCGCTACCGCTCCCCCTTCCACCACTGAGTTCTCAATCTGGGAGGGAGGCTGAGCCCATTTTCCAGTCTGAACCGTAATCACCCCTTCTTCCTCCTCTCTGAACTCCGCACGAACTGCCGCTGCTCCCCTGACAGGGTGTCGGGTTTTC